CATCTCCCCCCAAACTCCATCTTCCATTAAATTCCCCTAAGACAGAATTTTTTTCAGGCTCCCTTGCGATTCCGTCTTACACAGGTTCGACTGTACTTGTTATTGATTCCCTTGTGTGTGGTAAATCAATAGACGTGCGCGCAAAGTTTCCTGAAACAGAGGCAAATTTCCCCTACTATAGAGGTAAATTTCTGCGACATGGTAAAGATCTATACAAAAAACACAATTTGGCGCTTTTTCGGTAGTTCCCACCCCCCTTATTTGATAGAGCCTGACCTACATCTAGATCTATATACGTTTGATTCGCGGCAAGCTAAGATGTCAAACCTAACAACTGCAAAACATTAAATTGTGGTAAAATTCAGGGGGGCATGCCCCCCTGAAACCCCCCCACCTTGTTTTTATTAGGTCAGGGGGGCAAGCCCCCCTGAAACCCCCCTACTCTTGGGGCCAAAACCGGCGAATAACAAATGCGGGGTGGGAACTACCGAAAAAGCGCCCACAATTTTTTAACAGTAAAAGGGCATCTGTAGATTTACAATGAAAAAAAACAATGCATACAAACGACAATAAAATGCAGCAATATAATATTTTAATCAATACATCATCAAGCAGTTTCAACACAATTTGAGTAAAATTTAAAAGTTATGTACAGCAACAATAGTAAGCAGTAGAAACTGAAAGATAAAAATAGCGCAGGCGCAGCAGAGATAGGGGAAGAGAGGAGGAAAGTCTGGTCGGAAAGGGAAGCTTAGGGGGAAGACGCAGTCTGAAAACACTGCGATTGTTCATCCTGGACCAGAAAATACGGGGTGCCCACTACGGATGGGATCGGCCGATCAGCCCGATCGCCCGACTCGATCGCCTCAAAAACAAACGTGTTTATTTTCAGTTTCAGGCGATCGAGTCGGGCGATCGAGTCGGGCGATCGCCCTCGATCGGCCGATCCCGTCCGTAGTGGGCACCCCGAATTAGATTTCTAGACCTACGAAGATCTATCGATAATAGATCTATACAGAATGCTAACCTTGTTTAGTTGGTCACTCTTTATCTTCTTCGCATCAGAATGCGCCGGCGAAGTTGCGTCGGTTTTGAGCAAACGCTTTTTCTTTCCGTCTTGGTGTTCATCTTTTGACATGATGAAATTTCGCAACGTAAAACTAAAAGTTTGTCTTCAATTGGACTACTAACCGGTAAGGCTGAGTAGGCCTAGTTTGTTTCCGTTGTCTGCGGAAATCGAAATAATGGAAATTGAGAATCGGTGAAAGTAAGAGTCGAGTATTCCATTCTCTCTCTGTTCCTTTTCTTTTCTCCGACCTGTCGTGCGGATTCTACTTTCAATTCCTCCAACCAAATCCAAGCGAAGTTTTGGTGTGCAGTTTACAATAGGCCTAAAAGTTCATTAATTAATTCAGAGTTCGTTGGCCAGGCAGTGTTCGTAGCCAAGATATAATCTAGAGTTCTCAATTGTCAGCAATGCAACATTTGAGTCAGAAGTGCTTGGGAGTGTGTTGGACCTTTGCAAGACTTCGAGCTGTGCGACAGCTCTCATCAAAAGTATGGAGCATAGATCTATCTAGACTAGTCTAGTTTAGGCTAAAGAAGAGCAGGCTAGCCGTACTTATTATGACGGTTAGACTGGCTAGGCAAGCGATCACAACATATTATCTTGTAATCAATGTGATCTCAGTTTATTGACATGTGCTGATTGTCTAGATCTAAGTCAAATCTCTGAAAGATTGAACTCAAAAGTGATATTCGCTTGACATTGGGTAAGATTGAAGAATAGCCTACCGGACTCCACCTGCGGATTAGGACTAGATCTAGACATCTAGATTCTAGATCTACTTTTGCTTTAGATATCTCGACAACCTTAGGAAATCATGATTTTCCCCAGTTTTTAATCTGGCTGTTGAACTTTGGTGAACCCACCGTGTTTATATACATGTTATTAATGCGCACTAGGGAAACAACAGACTTATACAGTTATGGGTCCTAATCAATTGATTAGTCAACCACTCCTTCTGTCGGTTGGAATGTAAAATCTCCGCTAAACGATAAGCCAAAATAGTCATGATAGGAAGCCATGGTTCGACATCATACCTCATCGACAAACAACAGAGTAGAGGTACTAACTAAAATGAGCAGGACAATGCAGAGATACCCAGATGACCTATCAGTTCATACAATGCAAATTAGCGCGCTTGTGCGTGAGCGCGGAATTGCCCATTGCTGCGTAATTTCTTGGAGGCTGGCTTGTGCGTTTGGTGGACCGCACCTTCAGCACTTAAGTTATGATAACTTATAGTATTCGACAGGCGGGGGTGGGTGGGAGGTGAGGGGTTTCAGGGGGGCCTGTCCCCCTGGCCACAATAATAATTAAAAGAAAACACACACATACCGTAATGCAAATCAATTTAAATGAACAGAGAAAAGAAAAGTGGACCAGGAACATTTTAAATAGTTGGCTCTGCCCAAGAACTTTAGTAGACCCACATTGCCAGCCTAGGGTAGGCCCAAGAGGTACCATGAGAGATGATAAAGGTGCGAAGAGGTACCATGAGAGATGATAAAGAGGCGCGGGTGAAGTTTACCGGAGCAATGAAGAGAGGGGGAGACATGGTGGAGGTGGTGCCATGCTGTGACTAGATTGACCAATCAGAGCTTGGGTCTAGCCTCTCGCGTGCACTCACGGGCTTTGCGGTCGAAAAATCCGGTAGAAACTTTCAGTTGACTAAATGTACCCGAAGTGAGAGGATTCAGGCAAGGGAGGAAGAGGAGAGAGAGCGCGTTGCCAGCCGGGTAGGCCACGAGGCAGCGGCCCAAGGAAGAACAGTGGACCAGCGTATGGCATCGCACGACGCCCAAAAGTAGTTCCCCACCCCCCCCCCCCCCCCAGCAGTGGGTCCACCAAAGTTCAATCTTACCTTTAATCTCTCTCAATTAAGAATTTCAGACCGGTAGCCTAGGTCTATTCATTAACAGTTTGACAGGGGGGAGAACCACACCCCCCCCCCCCCCCCCCCCCCCCCCCCAGGGACTTGGTGTCATTTCCAGAGAAGGTAGCACCAAGAACAAATTTATGCACATCGAATGGTATTGCCTACTTATTACAGGCCTATAAACTGTAGACCTACTATATGCCTTTGTTTAATTTTCATACTGATACACAGACACCTGCTTCCAAGCGAGAAGAATAGATGTGCCAGTACAATCTTTTACATATAGAGAGAGATTTGATGATAAAGGACCAAGTTCGGCGCTCAAGATGTGCACAATCACATCATATCATAATCACACACAAAACAATAACTTCCCACAGATCAACAGAAAAGCACACATTCACAGTCAAGAACATGCATTACTATTGCCCTCGGGGTGTCTTGACATAATGACCCCATTCCCTGATTCACTTGCACTTCTGGTTTCTAGAGCTGACAGTCTAACCTATTTTTAGACAGTTCGCAGCCTTACCATGTCCAGGCTGTACCACTCCATCCCCTCCCTTCCATACAGGCGCCAAATCCATCTTGGCCCTTTGGCCCAACAGTACAATCTCTTGGTGTGATGGGAGTAGGCTACCTGTTGTAGCATTTTTGGCTGAGTTATTTTCTTGGTGATATTTCTTGGTTCTTCCATCAAACATCTGGATGGGGTATGAAAGAAACTTTTTTGCTATTCTTGGGAAAAAACCCTGTTTTCAACTGATTGAATCAAATAGTTTATGGATCATTTTGATTCATTTTGAACAGTCTTCACACCTAAACAATGAACGCCCAGATGGGTTAAGGCAGAGACACTGGTTCAGGTAGCGCCGATCTGGGCTCGGCGCCCTCGGTGACATCAAACGTAGGGAACGAAAGACGCGGGGAGACCCTTGCGACTGGCAACGGGAGGTTTACCCACTCTCCTCCTACTAGCCTAATTATAGACACCTTAACTAAAGACTGGTGTACTTACGGATGAACACTGAATAAGAGATTTGTTTGAAGAAAATATTGTGATATTTTGTTAAGTTTTGGAAAATCATATTCCCTTTTTTGAAAATCCCTTCTCCATTTCAAAGGATGGCGCCATTTGCGCTTGGAGAGCCACACTACTGCCCCCTCCCCTGATCCCTTCCTCCGCCCCCCCATTCTCGCACAAAAATACGAGTGGTCCAGTATTCTTCAATCTTTCCTGACATTGAAAACTGAGAACAAAGAGAGTGTAAAGAATAGTGTATCTTGGCATTAACCTCCTTTCAATGGCCTGAGCACAGATTGTACTGATTTGAGGTGACTCTTGTTTTATGTTTTCTCAATAGGTACCACCAAAACCAACATGGGAAAAAGTGGACTTTGATGCTTTACCAAAGGTGATCTTTAATTGTGCTTCATGTCTGTTGTGATCATATTTTTCATTTTCTTTGCAAAAATTAATTCAATGAATCCTAAGAGAAAAGACTCTCAAGATGTCCGATGCCATCCATGCATGTAAACTGAGTTGCAATACAGATTACAGATATTCCGGAGTGGGGCTGAGAGCTTTTCCCTATAAACAATAAACATTACCAACCGTTTACTTTTTAAAAAAATCTTTTCTTGACAAATATAGTTCACATCCATACGATTTAATGAGGTTGTCTTTCTGCTTTTTTCCACCACTCATTCAAAGCCTTTGTAGACGTAACGGTGATTGGGGAATCCTTAAAAAAACCAGTCGCATTTCATCGCGTTGTCGGTGAAAGCGACCCCGTCCCCACGAGGAAGGTAACAGTACTCACCCAAATATCAAAGAAATAGGATCTAGATAGTCACATCCATTTCCCCCTGTGCACGAGTTCATGTAAATGCATGCTTCATGTAAACGCACGCTAAGGATAATTAAGAGTGCTCCTGACCACCACATGTTCAGGTGAAGAGTACTGTATTACATTTTAAAGAGATGGTTGCATCGAATTTAAAACAAATTTAATTGTGTACGGACGCACCCAGGCAATTGTTTTGCAAGGGCAATATTCTATCATCATTGGAGATTCTAGTAAAAAAATAATGTTAATGAATCGAAACATGATGCTGGACAAATGTCATCTGACCCAAGAAGGTGGGAGTGAAAAATTCTGACCAGAGAAAATGTAATCTCTATGACTTCTGTTATCACTAAATGACACTGGGAGATGGGAAAAGTGAATTGGAACAAATGCTAATCATTTAGAAAACAACAGTGTATCTTGACACTGGGTTCACAGGGCAAAATATTCAGCAAAGTCTGTAAACAACTCTGACCCCTTCCTTGGATGCAAACCCTGAAACTTAACTTCTGTGATTTGGCGAATTTGTTAGGGAACGTGGCGATTTATTCAACCCAAATTTCATATGGACCGATGAAGTTTTCAAATTTCTGTAGTTTGTAATCAAAGCTTATTTCTGATGTGCCGTGAATAAAAACAGTGGATGCATCATTTAATTGCAGTCGTAAACAGTTGTGTATGTAATTTTTTTCAGGTTTCTGTATATTCATGGGAAAAATTTGGATCATGTTCCATATTCTCAATAAAGTAAAGTTGTTCCATATTCTCAATAAAGTAAAGTTGTTCCCGCTTCCGATCTGGACATCGGGGATTGCCTTGTTAGTGAGACAACTTCCTGGGCCTTCAGCATATATATTGTGGTAGGGTGGCAGTTCCTTTCCACGCCGCCTTTACTTCCCCAACTCAAAATTAGGTACCCATTACTGCTGGGTGGGTAGGAAGGGGTGAAAATCTCAATACAGACAGGAATTGTTTAATTATCAACTAAAAGTTCAATTTCAAGTATGAATCAATGTTCACTTTTTCTAAAGTCGTAAGAGGGATCTTGGAAAGCACTGTTCTTTAAACTTTCTCAAAACAAAAAATCAAAAGTAGGCAATTGTGTTATATGACTATGACAATTTGTGTTCTCAGGTCCCAGAGGTAGATTTAGCACTCGTTGAACAACTGGAGCGGATCTCCCTGGTTGAGTTCAATAATGAGACAGGACTTGAGTGGCTTCGCAGTTCTGTCAAGTCGGCCAATCGACTTCACGTAGTCGATACAGAGGGTGTGGAGCCTTTGGACAATGTTTTGGAGGACAGGTAACCTCATCTTTCCTGTGAGTGGTTGGAGGGCACCAGTGGTAGGTCCTTTTTCTGTTCTTTCTTTCTATTGTTTCTGTCTGTCTTGCTTTTTGTCAGCACTAAATGACCATTACTGTGTCAATAAGCTTGTCTTTACTCAAACTATTCTCCCATCAATCTAGAAAGATGTGTGTGCTAGGATCACAGTACCTTACAAGGGAATCAGATGATGAGAGCTCTGTAATAAATAAATTGACAATCTTCTCTTCTACACTGCACATAGGGGAGTTAATATCTGTTGTGTGCCCTCACTTTAAGGGTCCTCTGAGCAATTTTGCTATTTGCTGGGGGGGGGGGGGGGGATAAAGTAGAGTTGCCTACTATAGCCCCTCACGCTGAACTAGCATGTAACACCCAGGGTAATTTTGGGGGTCACAGTTATGTCTCTCTGAAACTGGAAACAGCAGGCTGTGATCACCATCTTAGGCTTTGCAAGAAAACTTTTGCAGCACCTTGTAAAAACTAACTAACATCCTTCATTCATATCTGTGTACACATAAACAAATTCCGTCCTGCTCATTCGTGGAGAGAAACTGACAGAGAAAATTAATGAGAGAGAAAATTATAATATTCTATAAGATTCTATTTAGATCCTGGCATAGCATTGGGTCTGGAAAAAGTTTTGGACAAGGATTCAAAAACTTACTCAAGACCAAGATGTTTTGAAAATGTCTTTTTGTATGAGCTAATATTGATTTTAAGAGTAGTGAAAAATCGATTTGGCAATTTTTAGTTAGTTTGCTTTAGCAATATTTTTTTTTAATCTGGGAAGGCATTAAATCCCCCTCTCCCTCCTGAAAAAAAAAATAATAAAACCTTAAACAAGCACTGATTTCATGTTGTCGAATTTTCATTGATAAAGTTGATTTTTTAGTAGTGTGAATGAAATACAATGCTCCAAAAAAATAAGGTCGTTTTTATCACAGTGAGCTATTATTATCTTACTTACCTGTCAAAAAATGGAAACTTATTGCTACATAATCATATGCCTTAGCGTTTGTATGTGCTTGAAAGTATGCATTCTTATGTCTGTTAGTGTTAGTTAAAAAGAGATGTACATGCCAAAGTTTTTAAAACTTTCCAGAGAGTTGTGGCTCTGTGAGGATCAAGTGACAGAGGGAAACTGTACTGAACAAGTTTTGTTGAACGCCTTGAAAACAGAAGAGCAGTACTTTGTAGCACCTCCTGGTATGTGTACTGTGTATGTGTGTTTGAATGTTTGTGTGTGCTGTGCAACTGGTGTGCTTGTGTATTTGAATGTATGTACATGCTGAGTAATTGTGTACATGTTGTATATATGTGTATTCATGTTCATCATGTATTCAAATGCATTTGCTGTTCAGTTGTATACATGTGTGTGTATGTGTGTGTGTGTGTGTGTGTGTGTGTAGTATGTGTGTGTGTGGATGTCATGCAGTGTGTTCTTAGCTTTTTGTGGATCTATTATCTTAGCGGACAATTTGATTCTTTATGATTTAATAGGCCTATATCTTTTCCACAGGAAATAGGTGGTCCAGGGGGGCTATTTTGTGGGTAGCTCCTTCTTTCCTGTCAAACATCAATCATCTGTATCTCTCCATTTTTCTTTGCTCTCTACTCACAAAATAGTAAAACTTTTAATCTTCGGCACTTACATGCCCTACTCACGTTGCAAGTGAAGTGAAATTTTTACTAAAACTATTTAAACTTCCACAGGTAATGTGCCATTAAAGAAAAGAGACAAGCAACATCTTAAACTTGGCCTGCAAGAAGATGAGGATTCGTCCTGACAGTGATAGATCATTTGACTCTAAGGAGCCACATTTTGTGAAACATGAATGGTGTTTGATGTGTTTGGAGACCTAGTAACAAAAAACTTTGCTTACGTCTGCTATACTTATAGAAATGAGAAATATGAGAGTGAGAATTGAAAAAATTGAAGGAGATTGCATTTGTTGGCCCCTTTCCAGACTAAAGCCCCGGTTACATGCAACAATAAATTGTGTCAGATTCATTGTATGCGAGAACTGTCCGTTTTATTAAACTGTGATGTCTGTTTTCACGTTCCAATCTATCGTCAAGTTTTCTTTCGATCGAAGAGATTCCTCGTCATAATTAAGCCATCATGTCTCTTTGCGACAACAGCGATTTGCCTGCTCTCTATGTGAAGGTATCGAGCTCGGGACTTTCTGAATGAAAAGCGAACATTGTACCTCTAGATCGCGAGAAATCCCCCTACCAACCCCTTCCCCTGTACATTTTGGTTATAGCAGAACAGCGTCTTTAGAAAAAGGTGGCCATACTGTAGTGTTGTGTGTAGAAAGAGAAGCTTTGACTTGGCAGCAGATGTGCAACGCACCGAGTGACCTTGATGCACAATTTCACTATTGATGATCAATTAAATAATAAAATTACTAAAATTTACATAATTTCACATCGAATCAGGTTCCCTGCTATCTGCTCTGCTTATTTTGAGATACTGTTTCCGAATATGAAATCAGTTTTAAGATGCAATTATTATTTTTTAAATTTTGCGCCTTAAATTAAGTCCTGGTCGGCTGTGAATTTCAAAGTGATTCTAGTCAAAGCGTGTCTCCCCCAAATCTGACCACGATTGCACGGAAAATATCAAGCAGCGTTTGATTTCTCGACCGAGTCTCCAAGCCATCATCTCATCGTCCAAATTTTGAACAATTTTGTTGTTACACCTAACGATTTATCGTATGATCGCTAGATCGTCCAGTTTTTGTACAATTTATCATTACCGGTACGTGTAACCGGGCCGTAACTCATGGATTTAATAAAGGTGACAATAAATTATAATGGCACCGCTTTCCTTGTGATTTTGTTCTTTATGTTCAAAAATATTTTGGAAAGTATACTAAAATGGGCGTGCTGTTAGGATATTGTCCTGGGCTACAGAACAGATAGCCCATGGTTTGAAATCCCAAAGGGCCATTCTGAACTTTGGTTGCTGTAGAGAGTTTTCAGTGCTCTCCATCCATTTGGCTCGGACCTATCAGAGATGGACATTAAATTAGAAAGTTCTGCCCCATAAAGAACCTTACAGTAATGAAAGGGGCGTGATTTTTATACAGGCAAATTTCATTATACCACCACGCTCAGGATGAGCACTAAGTTCGGAATAGTGGGGACGTCGGTTTAACCAGGTTCCTCTGTTAAATAACCCCATCTGCCCAACATCAAAAGAAATAATTCTGCTGGGTGAGCTGTGTTTGAAAACTGTTTTTGTTGGTGATTTATGTGTTTTAGAGCTGAGTATTCTCTCTCTCTCTCTCTCTCTCTCTCTCTCTCTCTCTCTCTCTCTCTCTCTCTCTCTGTTTCTCTCGCTCTCTCTCTCTCTCGCTCTCTCTCTCTCTCACTCACTCTCTGTCTGTCTGTCTCTCTCTTTCTCTCTCTCTCTCTCTCTCTCTCTCTCTCTCTCTCTCTCTCTCTCTCTCTGTGTGTGCGTGTGTATCATGTGTACAAATTCAAACCCAGCTGAACTTTACATTAATTCAAATTGAAGATATCTGCCACATCAGAGGCTAAACTATCAAGGCCTCTGTAAAGGTAGTTTTGTATTCACTGATGCTCGTCAGTCATTGACACGCCTCAGATCTACCACATAGACTTGACCTGTCCTCGCAGTTAGATACATGTAAAAGTAAAAGCTTCGGGGGCACCCGTCAGCCTTGAGCCACTTGAGGTCTATTGGGCTGATGCCTCAGCTGGCAGCACCAGATATTTTGCCGGCGGACCGAGGTGGCATGGGAGAGAGAAGCAGCTCAAAGAGTGTGTATGTATGTCATGTGTAGAGTGTACATAATGTGGCAAGTTCACTAGCAGTATGGCGGAGCAAGTTTCCATTGGTTAAATAAGGACCGTACAATTCAAACAGTTGGCAGACTGGTGTAAAGGCGCAAAAATGTTTTTATACACGTTCCTTTTCGAACATTGACAAAACCTGGCGCTATATTATATTGACGAGGTTTGACTGTACCTTTCTGGTAAACAATGATGTTGGCAATTCTATGGGTTTACCACCCCTTTCAACACTTGTGTAAGATTATATAGAAAAGATTTTATTGATATCCGCAAAGAGAAAGGAGGCGTCGGCAGTCTAGTGGTTAGGCTACCGGGTCCGTAAACGTGAGATGACGGGTTCGGGGTTCAAACCTCACCTCGATCCAACGTTGTGTCCTCGGGAAAGGCACTTATTTCATACGAATTTCCCGCTTGGCTCGGTCCTTTCGGAGATAAACTTTTAACTCAGATGAGGTCCCGCTTAAATGACCTAATACAGTCGACTACAGATGAGCTGATGTCGGGGAGTAAAAAATATATAAACTTATCCGAACTTCAATTCTACCCACGGGAGCTGTGGAGCAAGAAGAGGTGCCGGCATCCGATAAAAAGATGAACTTAACCGAAGCTCAACTTCGGCAAGTCCAACACAAGTGAAGTCGACTGCAGTGCTGATGAGGGCGTTAAACCTATATACATACCTCTAATACCAGTTCACCATTAATTGTTAAAGTTGTAGAAGCAGACCTACAAATTTAGTGTCCATTTCTGACAGGACCGAGCTGAGTAGGGACAAGTGAAGTAGATAGAAAGCCTTGAAATAAAGGCCAGTGTAATACCAACTGATCTAATGATATTCCAAAAGTGATGTAGATCTTGTCTGTTCACTTTATTGTGCCTATGTTTGTACCGCTATATAACCCAGTAGGCCCTATTGTCTTGACTAAAATGCAGTGGGGCGTTGCACATGGGTTTAGAATGCTTTTGACTATCAAGCATATTAATTTTTATTTCGTCTTTTTGTTTACTGTGAGGAAAAACACCATGTTTGAAGCATGTACCCTACCGAGGTCATTGCGTAATAACGCCACGCTCACAATTTTCCCCGTAGCACGACGCTCTTTCTCCTTTCTGTACCTTCAACCCCCCAGAGATTGGGCCAAAATGTCTAAATGATAAAATGCTTTTGTGAACGTAAACCTTTATTTTCTGGTCAGGAATCGTGTAACATTCCAAAGGGATCAAAGAAATTCGCGCTTTGAATAATTAAGAAGTCAACATGCACAGGACTTGAAAATCTTAAGTTCAGTCAAAATATAAGACTACAAGCAACCCCACCCACTCACCCACACACCCTCTCTCACACACACACGCGCACACACACACACACACACACACACACACAGAGAGAGAGAGAGAGAGAGAGAGAGAGAGAGAGAGAGAGAGAGAGAGAGAAAGAAGGGCAATACAAGGAACAGATTTTGAGAAAATTACAAGAAACTGTAGACATGATAGAGAGTGAATTTAACACACTATACGAGTATAATTATACTCTTTAACATTTTTAACTTCACCACACCTCATACTAAAGACTAAAGGCAATATATCTGGATTAATACCAAAAATACTTCTCAAATTTGTCAGAAAATTTCAAATAAATAAGACAGTGCTTTCATTTTACAGCAAAGGAAACACGTGGAGTGCAAATTTAGGAACGATTTTAATCTTCAATTTTGAAATTATAGTTGTCAGGGGTCAAAATGAAAAGTGACAGCTTTCAGTAATGTGTGGTGGCATCTGGTGTTGTTCACATCTTCACATCGTCGACGTATGAACGTGATGAATCGATGTGTTGCCTATTGAGGGATGGTATTCCACTCTCGAATTAAGGCTTGTTCTAACTGAGCAAGGGACTGGGGCTGGCGTGGTCTTGCACGAATGGTGCCATCTAAAAATCCCGCAAGTGCTCAACTCGATTGAGATTTAGTGAATGCGCTGGACATGGGTGCAGGAGAGGAATGTTGTCAGTTTTGAGAAATTGATTTGTCACAGCAGCCTTATGGGCAGGTGCATTATCTTGCACGAATATGTACTTGTCCTTGGGTTTGATTTTGAAAGAAAAGTACATTGGACTCGAGAACCTGGTTGTTTTAGCCTTCAGCTGTTATGCCATGCTCTCACGAATGGATACACGCATAGTCTCCCCGACATCACTGATTCTAGCCCACGCCATGACACAACCTCCACCGAAATCATTTGCTTGTCTAAAGTAATCTGGGATGTACGCTTTGGTTGGGTCTTCTGTAGACTCGGGTCTATACATCATGCCGTTCCAGTCGAAATTGGGACTCATCTTAAAACATGTGCTTGTACGTATTCCAAATACGACGTGGCCATCACACGCGACGCTGTGCCCAGTGAAGTTTGTGCTGGATGTGATGGGGCTGCAGTTTTATGCGACAAACTAGGCGCCTAGCACGGAGATTTCCCTCTTTCAAACGAAGAAGAACAGTCTTGACAAAGATTGGACTGTCATTTCTAAGTCTTTTTGACTCCTCCTGGGTCTTTGCTTGTCGGTTGAAATTGATTTCTCAAGTGTTGCCGTTAGGATGAATGTGTCCACCTTCCGTTTGGTCTAGGTCTGTCCTTTTGAGAGCCTATCGTTGCTATTTGATCCCGTGCAGCATGCACAGTGTGTCTGTTCACGCTGAACCCACTCTCGATTGACGAAACTGGGGTGTCCACCTGCAGCATTTCAATGATGTGATTTCTCTCTGATTCATTCAGCTGAAGCATCACCTATTCGTAGACTGGTTGTCCATCGGGGCGATTTCGAAGAATTGGCCACCAGCTTCCTCCCCTCCTTCCGGTTTTCACCTTTCCTGAGCGTATGTTTGAGTTCCAGACCTGTCCATTCCTTGATGTTGAGCTCCCAGCTCTTCTTCGGTCTGCCTCTGCTCCTTTTTACCTGGACGTCATCTTGGCAAGGCCGGATGAACGGGTGATGTGTCCTTACCAATGCAGTTTGCGTTTCCTGGCCAGAGTGAGAAGGTCAGCATATGGTCTAATTTCATTTTTGATCCGTTGTCTGACTTCTTCTTTTGCAATGTGATCTTTTTTTGAGATACCAATGATTTTTCGGAAGCATCTCATCTCCACAGCTTTGACCCATCTTTCAAGGTCTGCATTCAAGGTCCAGGATTCACAAGCATACAAAATACTGACATGACCAGGGAGCGCATCAGTCTGATCTTTGATCTGAGGGCGATATTTCTGTCGTAGCAGATGATTTTCAACTGGGCTATTGCTGCTGAAGTTTGCGCTATTCTGGAGATTATTTCTGGTTTTAATCATTCCCCTTTCACTATTGCACTCAGGTAAGCTATTTGAAGCTGCGTACGGTCTTAAGCCTCTGGTTGTTGACCTGGAAGTCCACTGTGACATTTTTGATGCTGTTAGACATCAGTTTGGTCTTTTCATCGCTGATTTTGATGCTGTAGGCTTTGGGGTATTTTCAAGACGGTCTATTATGCTAACTTATTCTTGCCGAAGCCTGGTAAATCGATCAAGAGAAGCCCCTTTTTATGTTGCGAAAAATTTGGAAGGAGTCCAACTTTGCGTGTGTAGTTTTGTTTTCAAAATTACCCTCACATTTTCACAGTTTTTGACAAAATATCAAAACACCGTGAATGACATCGTCAGACAAAACGATAGACCAGTGCATCTATAAATTAAAAAGTACAGTTCACGAATGATAGTGAGCTTGCGTGACATGTGTAAAAATTTCAAAGTTATTGAATGTGTAGTTTTCGAGCTACACGCTTTTGAAATATGTGAAGTTAAAAATGTTAAAGAGTATAATATTTATTATTACCAAGTTATCATCTATACTTCTCTGTTTCATACAAATAAACTTTTTTTGGGGTAACTCAGAATACAAACAACATTACCAGAAATCTTCATACTTGTTTTATATGGTCATTTAATTTAGTTTGACTGCACTGGAAAGAAGTCCGCTTAAACTGA